CCAATGCAGAAGAAATGGCAATGAAACACCATAATTACATATCTGCCGTCATGCAATAGGGTCCGAATAAGTGTCCTACTGTTTAAACCCAAATGCATGAGAAGTGGCAAGTAAACAACATCGTTACATCTCCACCATCATGCAAGAGGGACTGAACATGTATCCGAGTGTTCGAATCCTATTGCACGAGAAATGGCAAACAAAAACCATAATTACATATCTGCCATTACGCAAGAGGGTCCGAATAAGTGTCCAAGTGTTTAAACCCTAATGCATGAGAAATAGCAAGTAAACACCCTAATTACATATCTGCCATCATGCGGGAGGGTCCGAGTAAGTGTTCGAGTGTTCGAATCCTAATACACAAGACATGGCAAACAAACACCGTAATTACATCCCTGCGATCCTGCGATGGGGTCAAAATAAGTTTCAGAGCGTTCGAATCCAATTGCACGAGAATGGAAAACAAACACCGTAATTACATATCTACCATCATGCAAGAGGGTCCGAATAAGTGTTCGAGTGTTTAAACCCTAATGTATGAGAAATGGCAAGTAAACACTATAATTACATATCTGCCACCATGCAAGAGGGTCCGAATAAGTGTCCGAGTGTTTAAACCCTAATGCATGAGAAATGGCAAGCAAACACCGTAATTACATATCTGCCATCATGCAAGGGGGTCCGAATAAGTGTCCGAGTGTTCGAACCCCAATGTAGAAGAAATGGCAAAGAAACACCGTAATTACATATCTTCCATCATGCAATAGGGTCCGAATAAGTGTCCTACTGTTTAAATCCAAATGGATGAGAAGTGGCTAGTAAACAATATAGTTACATCTTTACCGTCATGCAAGAGGCTCTGAAGATGTATCCGAGTGTTCGAATCCTATTGCACGAGAAATGGCAAACAAACACCATAATTACATATCTACCATTATGCAAGACGGTCCGAATAAGTGTCCGAGTGTTTAAACCCTAATGCATGAGAAATGGCACGAAAACACCATAATTACATATCTGCCATTACGCAAGAGGGTCCGAATAAGTGTCCGAGTGTTCGAATCCTAGTACACAAGACATGGCAAACAAACACCATAATTACATCTTTGCCATCTTGCGATGGGGTCAAAATAAGTTTCAGAGTGTTCGAATCCAATTGCACGAGAATGGCAAACAAACACCGTAATTACATATCTACCATCATGCAAGAGGGTCCGAATAAGTGTCCGAGTGTTTAAACCCTAATGTATGAGAAATGGCAAGTAAACACTATAATTACATATCTGCCACCATGCAAGAGGGTCCAAATAAGTATCCGTGTGTTTAAACCCTAATGCATGAGAAACGGCAACCAAACACCATAATTACATATCTTCCATCATGCAAGGGGGTCCGAATAAGTGTCCAAGTGTTCGAATGCCAATGCAGAAGAAATGGCAAAGAAACACCATAATTACATATGTGCCGTCATGCTATAGGGTCCGAATAAGTGTCCTACTGTTTAAACCCAAATGCATGAGAAGTGGCAAGTAAACAACATCGTTACATCTCTGCCATCTTGCAAGAGGGTCTGAACATGTATCCGAGTGTTCGAATCCTATTGCACGAGAAATGGCAAACAAACACCATAATTACATATCTGCCATTACGCAAGAGGGTCCGAATAAGTGTCCAAGTGTTTAACCCCTAATGCATGAGAAATAGCAAGTAAACACCCTAATTACATATCTGCCATCATGCAGGAGGGTCCGAGTAAGTGTCCGAGTGTTCGAATCCTAATACGCAAGACATGGCAAACAAACACCATAATTATATCTTTGCCATCCTGCGATGGGGTCAGAATAAGTTTCAGAGTGTTCGAATCCAATTGCACGAGAATGGCAAACAAATACCATAATTACATATCTGCCATCATGCAAGAGGGTCCGAATAAGTGTCCTAGTGTTTAAACCATAAGGTATAAGAAATGGCTAGTAAACACTATAATTCCATATCTGCCACCATGCAAGAAGGTCCAAATAAGTGTCCGAGTGTTTAAACCCAAATGCATGAGAAATGGCAAACGAACACCAGAATTACATATCTGACATCATGCAAGGGGTCCGAATAAGTGTCCGAGTGTTCGAACCCCAATGCAGAAGAAATGGCAAAGAAACACCATAATTACATATCAGTCGTGCAATAGGGTCCGAATAAGTGTCCTACTGTTTAAACCCAAATGCATGAGAAGTGGCAAGTAAACAACATAGTTACATCTCTGCCATCATGCAAGAGGGTCCGAAAATGTATCCGAGTGTTCGAATCCTATTGCACGAGAAATAGCCAACAAACACCATAATTACATATCTGCCATTATGCAAGAGGGTCCGAATAAGTGTCCAAGTGTTTAAACCCTAATGCATGAGAAATGACGCGGAAACACCATAATTACATATCTGCCATCATGCAAGAGGCTCCGAATAAGTGTCCGAGTGTTCGAATCCTAATACACAAGACATGGCATACAAACACCATAATTAAATCTCTGCCATCCTGCGATGGGGTCGGAATAAGTTTCAGAGTGTTCGAATCCAATTGCACGAGAATGGCAAACAAACGCCGTAATTAAATATCTGCCATCACGCAAGAGGGTCCGAATAAGTGTTCAAGTGTTTAAACCCTAATGTATGAGAAATGGCAAGTAAACACTATAATTACATATCTGCCACTATGCAAGAGGGTCGGAATAAGTGTCCGAGTGTTTAAACCCTAATGCATGAGAAATGGCAAGCGAACACCATAATTACATATCTGCCATCATGCAAGGGGTCTGAATAAGTGTCCGAGTGTTCGAACCCCAATGCAGAAGAAATGGCAAAGAAACACCATAATTACATATTTGCCGTCATGCAATAGGGTGCGAATAAGTGTCCTACTGTTTAAACCCAAATGCATGAGAAGTGGCAAGTAAACAACATAGTTACATCTCTACCGTCATGTAAGAGGGTCCGAATAAGTGTCCGAGTGTTTGAGCACAAATGCAAGAGAAATGGAAAGTAAACACCATAATTACATATCTGCTATCGTGTAAGAGGGTCCGAATAAGTGTCTGAGTGTTTTAACATAAATGCATGAGAAATGGCAAGTAAACACCATAATTACATATCTGCCATTGTGTAAGAGGGTCCGAATAAGTGTCCGAGCATTTGAACCCTAATGCACGAGGACTGGCAAGTAAAAACACGATAATTACATATCTATCATCAAGTAAGTGGGTCCGAATAATTGTCCGAGTGTTTAAACCCTAATGCACGAGAAATGGCAAGTAAACACCATAATTGCATATCTTCCATCACGCAAGAGGGTCTGAATAAGTGTCCAAGTGTTTAAAACCTAATGCATGAGAAATGGCAAAAAATACCATAATTACAAATCTGCCATCATGCAAGAGGATCCAAATAAGTGTCTGAGTGTTTAAACCCTAATGTATGAGAAATGGCAAGTGAAAACTATAATTACATATCTGCCATCATGCAAAAGGGTCCGAATAAGTGTCCGAGTGTTTAAACCCAAATGCATGAGAAATGGCAAGCGAACACCATAATTACCTATCTGCAATCATGCAAGGGGGTCCGAATATGTGTCTGAATGTTCGAATCGCAATGCAGAAGAAATGGTAAACAAACACCATAATTACATATCTGCCATCATGCAGGAGGGGCCGAATAAGTGTCCAAGTGTTTACACCCTAATGCATGAGAAATTGCAAGTAAACACCATAATTACATATCAGCCAGCATGCAAGAGGGTTCGAATAAGTGTCCGAGTGTTTAAACCCCAATGCATGAGAAATGACAAGTAAACACCATAATTACATATCTACCATCATGTAAGAGGGCCTGGATAATTGTCCGAGTGTTTAAAGCCTAACGCAGGAGAAATGGGAAATAGACACCATAATTACATATCTACCATCATGCAACTGGGTCGGAATAACTTTCGGAGGGTTCGAATCCTATTGCACTAGAAATGGCAAACAAATACCATAATTACATATATGCCATCATGCAAGAGAGCCCGAATAAGTGTCCGAGTGTTTAAACCGTAGTGTATGAGAAATGGCAAGTAAACACCATAATTATTATTTCACAAATATCCCTGCTCATATCGCACTAGTCTTTTAAATATGCTAAGAAATCGACTAGCTATTATACACCACTCCACAAAAAAATTCACCAAACAATTGTATTATAAATCAAAATATATCGGTCAAACAACTTTAATAATAATCCATTAAGTATATCAAAAAAATCATCAAAGTAAATCCCAAAATGAACTAACGTGGAATCCACACCAAAAAAAAAAAAAAAATCCACAAAAAAAATCAACACTCAATCTCGATTTGCAACTACAACTAAGTATTCGTTCAGGAAACAAAATTCAACAGTTGATCTTCATTTGCAAATAAACTTCCGAACGTCATTAAAACCAATCTGCAAAGAAAATAAATAAGAAAAATATTAACATATTACCAATTACATTATATAGACCTCTCTATCCATGTCAATACAAATTGTGTACACAATGAGTCTAACTTAACAACCAAAAGTTCCTTTGTACATGGCAAGCTCCTATTAATCACATCACTAACTTAGAGCAACTCCAACACTGCCTAGCAAAAATACACGAGAGTAAACACATAATTTTGTCTATACTTTGAAAAAAGTTCATTTCCATGCTGTAACTGTATCCTATGTATTAGTGATAGTCAATTTTCTTGTCTTACTAAATATAACAATAAAAATAATAATAGTAATCAATACAGTATTTGTCAAAAAGTGTTAATAGTCAAACTGCTTATTGTTAAATTAGACTCTCTATACCATTTAGCAACCCACTATAGTCTTAGCAACACGGATACAAATAAGCAGTGTCCATGTAGAACACTGCTTCAATACCTACATTTGGACACACCTAGAGACTTGAGATACTTCTTGGGTGTGTACATTATTTAAATATGCTTTGCAACTTTGGGGCATCGGCTAGCACTTACTCAAACACAAGGCCAGCAATTGTAGCCATACGAACAGCCTTATTAAAAGGATGAACATACCTAAAAGCACCCAACCATTTATTCAAATAAATAGATAAAGGAAGAAATGCAAGACACTGGCATCATAGACATGGCTACCACAACTGAAATATGCAATGGACATTTTTTAATTATTCCCATGTTTATACGTAATTTTCATTATTATAATGTTGTCGCCATGTCTATGTCTTGTTTTAGTAATTATATCTATGTTGTGTCATGTTCGTGCCAAGTGTCTGTGTCTTTGCTATCAAGAATCTGTTTCTGAGCAAGCAAAACTTTATTTTCCTATATGTGATAGGCTGCTACAGAATGAACAATAGTCCACTCATGATTGCTTGAAAACATTTTTCGAACTTGAGTTTTCAGCCAAAAAAGATTCTCCATCCAGAAAATAAAAGATTATAATGGTCTCTGGTAAACATACAACATCTGCTAAATATATGTAGATCATGTATAGAGAGAAAGATCAGCAATTAATGCAGCTATAGAAGTGACCAAAAGTATTTTGAAATGGAATTGCAATTGAGGCAAATATGACTTTCAAAAACGAACCAGAATTCTAGAGAATATGAAGCCTCTAACTTCTTGGCTGAGATCTTCAATGTGAGGATCTTCAACAATTACACATGCATCTCCAACATCATATTGTTTAAGAATCTATTCCTTACTCAAATCAAAGAACTAAAACACTGTACCTATAGGAATAAGATAAGGACAATATAGATAAGTTAACAAATAACAAATTAAATTCACACATTCTGAAGTAAAATATCGCAATTTAGAAATGCACAACTTTGTTGGAAAGGCATCATAAGAAGAGTTGACTGGCACAAATCATTTTAAAGAGAAAAAGCAAAAGAAACTCCTTATCAGAGAAACAACAATAGGATATTAGGATAAGTTTTTAGGATACTCATGCCACCCATAATTCAGCGTCATAGAACTGATTAATAAAAACTACAAGGTATAGTGCATAATTTCAGCTTTGAGTACAATTCATATTTCTATAAATGAAGTGGAAGACAGGTTTCCAACAACACCATGTATGGAGTTTCATAACTGGAAGAGAATGATAGCTAATGGGTAGGGCTTATTGTTGTTTGTTTGTGTAATGGGAATAGTTTTTCCTCTGCTCTATTGTTGGTTTTCTTTAATATTGTGTTTGGATGATGGATTTGAGGGGGATTTGCAAAGCCCTACTCAATTCCAAATCCAAATCCAAACATGTATCCTAAGGGATTGGTGGGGGATGGTGTTAAAGATGGTGTGTTTGTGGGTTAAATAGTGTGATTAGGGAGGGGAAGAAAATGCAGGCGTATATACATCTTTGAGGACATGTTTCTCTGAATGTATGCCATGCCATTGTGTTCAAAATGTGAAAGCAAAAAATATGGTTATTGGCAATTTAACACTGAATTGGTAGGTTTTGGGACTCCTTGTTGTGAGCATTACAAACACCAAAGCTCCCTAAGGTAGAAAGGGACACAATTATTTAAAACAAAAAATTTACCCTTCCTGCCCAATCTGCTCCTGCCTGGAATTCCTTCATCTTCATTGATACTAGAGAAGAAAAATGTGATAAACATTAGACAGTTACCTAGTCATGAAGAGCTCTACTATGTAATACTCATCATGACTTGTCAATTGCTTAGTAAAATCTTAATATTATCATACGTCTATTCTGGCTACAATGATTTCAAGGCTTCATCTAAATACTCATTCATATAGGTGACTAAAAGTAAAAATGGTACATAATCGGTGAGACTAGTTTTTTCATATGAAAAGAAGTTTTTCAAAGAAAGATAATGAAAAGAAAAAGAAAAATATTAGCCTAAATATACCTGAATAGGTCCTCAGTTTCTTCAGGAGCTTTGATGTGGGTGCAACAGGTTTATCGAAATGATATTTGTGTTTCTAAATGATTGTTATAGCTAAATGATATTTGTGTTTCTAAATGATATTTGACTCAGCTAGTTGTGGTTGTTATACCTAAATGATATTTGTGTTTCTAAATGATTCTATTTGTGCTTTACATAGGATTGACAAAGACATGTAACAAAACAAAGGACAGCTTCCTGTACAAAGTACAACACATAAAAGCAATTAAGAATAACTCTCTCTTCACATTATTGTCACTTGTCAAGCTAGTCTTAGGTTTTTGGCAATAAAACAAAATGTAAACGACTGAATGGCATGGACCCCTTTATGACAAAACAGAGGAATTCAATCTATGAACTACCATCTAATTAAGCTACACCACAGTGGAAGATTAGGATCTCTGTCATTGTAGTTGTGCACATGTGAACAACTCATTGCAGGCCTACAGGCCCAAGATGGACCCTTGTTGATTGGGATTCAATTTTGGATTGTAGAGCCTAGTTAAATTAATGGCATGATTAGAATCTATGAATAGAGGGAGTAACCTTTGGTAACATTTGCACTTGCAGAAAGTAACTTCCTACAAACTTGAAGCAGCATTCTCACACTATGCAGTAAAAACAGAGTAGCATCTGATATCCACTTCCACAGATAGATATAAATATGGGGAAGCATTATTGCTAGTAAAACTTTTTAAGTTCTATTTCTTGGTAAATTTCCTAGGAACAAAAACTCAAGCAATAATAACAGATAATAAGGAATGATGCTTATTGATAGTACCTTTGCAGCAATAGATTTCATTGTATGCTTCCTTCATAGATCAGCTTTCGAAGCTTCAAATTCCTCTCTGCTCATGATGGGGGGGTCCAAGATCGTAACACGCAACATAGATCATACCAAGATCTCAAACATGTTAGATGGAAAAAATGTTTACGAGACAGTCTCTTCGCCTTTGCCATTGGTTCCTGTCATTTGCCCACCCATCAAACAGCTTGGAGATTAACAAAAAATCAAATAGGGAATTGAGAATGAACTAAGCTAACAAGCTCACCCTACAAATAGCACATTCATCATCATATGCTTCAATCTCCTCAGGTGTTGCATCTGGAAGTGCTCCATGAAGGATGCCTAAAGCTATCTTCAACCTAATAAATCATTTGATACGTTTTACAATTGCACCAAACAAGGCCTGGTCAATAATATGAAGTGTTAAACAAAATAAACATGAAATAATAATGTTGAAAAGTCCAAGTCAAATGAATGTCAATATATTGCTACAAAAAAATAGTGAGAAACTTTACACATATATTTAGGAAAAGAACTACATCCACAAGATGAAATTTCATGCCATGAAGCCACCAGATATGCACATAATGACAGAGTGCCATCAATAACGTCATGATGTCCAGAAGAAAACCCAAGTTCCACATGAGAATGCCTTTCCATTCATAGAATGAACCCGCACTCAAATTTGTTAAGTTACAATAATGACAAATCCAATCCACAACAACAATTAGAAGTACCCTTGGCCTTTAGCAACAGCATCAACAATAACAATAGAAAACGAATGATTGCCAAGAATCATGGAAAGCCATGGTCTTAGAAAGAATTAATAAATATATAAACATTGCCAAGACAACCCACCAACTAAAAACATGTCAAGTTAAAATAATCACAAACATATAAACCTTTAAGAAAAAAAGATAGAGATTGGTGCATTTTCTTGACATTGACACTAACTGAGCAGGCTAGGCATAGGTAAAAAGGTCCTGTAGAGCTTTTACTATTGCACCAAGCAACAAACCCCCTTACGTTTATAGGAAGGAAAAAAAAAGAGAAAAGAAAAGAAAGGAAAAGAAATTAAGAAAACTATACAGTGCCACGCTTCACAAAACACATCTTCTTTCAAGATCATAAAATACTGGCTTAGAGGAAGAAAGAAAGAAAACAGCAAAATAAATGCAGCACTAAATTTTTTTTCTTTTATGAGATATAAGTGGACAAGAAAAAAATGGTAACATAGTTGGCTTAACATGTTTTACCTGTTCATTCAAATAATTTTATTTTTATATGGGGAAAAGGGAAAAGAATATAAAGAAAACTACAGTGCCATGCTTCACAAAACACATCTTCTTTAAAGAACAGGGAATACTAAGTTAGAGGAATGAAGAAAGAAAACAACAAAATAAATGCATCACAAAAAAAAATGGGAGCTATAAGCAAATAAGGAAAAAGTGAATAACGGGACCAGAAAACATGAGAACCCCCAACCACTTGGTAACACAACAACAAAATAACATGGCTACATAAAAAAAGTTTGCAAACAACCTGCTATTGATATATCAAGGAGTTTGGACCTTTGGCAATTTGTGTTGTTCCCTGCCGAATCATGGAACCATATATTGAGCAATTGAAAACCATGAATCAAAATAGCCTACAAAAAACAATTTGCAGACTAAAGAACCTTCAGCCTGTGTTTATTATATGTTCTACGGGAAAATGTTACATGATCTATAGATAGATCTATCCATTATGAAAATGAAAAGACTTCCCAATAAAAGTACTTGTAATGTCTCAAAAGCAATACTAAAAGGCTTGAAAAATAACAACAGAAACATATACGATTCTAACGTTCTATATATCACTAGACACATCTTTATCCTGTAAGCAGCCCAAAAAAAAAACAAGAATACGTAAATGAGAAATTTATGAATAACCAAAATTGGAAAAGGGAGGTGAAACTAGCATGGACATTAACTCTTGTGATTCGCAAGAGGGGAAAGTTTAAAAATTGTCATTCCTAATGTTTAAGATCAATTGTTAGAAGTTTAAAAATCGTCATTCCTACTACTACCGCCATTAGTTGAGTAGTAGGCAAGTTATTGTCATTAAAATCTCAAGAGTTTGATAGCAATACTACATACATATGGCCTAGTGAGAGACGATTCATTCATCATTCTTATTCTTATTCTCTATAAGACTAATTTCTTGTAGTGACACTCCCTTCCCTTTACAATGTCTCATTTGAATTCTTAAAAACTTTTATGCTCTATTACAAACAGAATAGTCATTTTATAAGAGGTTAATATACAATAAGTTTTTCAACAACACTGGGTTGATGGTTTGATGGGTTGATGGGTTGTCTCTCGGAAATATCTTCAAACACTTGACATGCAGAATTCTTGTCCGTTTCCTGTCACAAACAAGAGGGGAAATCCTAACAAAATAAAAAGATTAGACAAATGTTTCAATCAAATAAAAAGTGAAATGATTGAATCTACATACCATATGGAGAATTACTACCAAACAAATCATATACCACAGTAAATAAATAAACATTTAAGGTGCAAAACTACAAAGAAGAAGACATGAACTTCATAGATATTATAGATTGCATTACATAATGAAAAAATTGGAAAAACAAAAACATAAAATTGATTTGGACAAGGCTAGAGAACACTTGTATATTTTAGAACCATTTCAAAACTTGAATCCCATTTAGACTATTGAAACTCATATAAAAAAAAAGACAAATCTTAGAGTTTCTGGATTCACATCCATAAGCATGGTGTCTGTTAGATTTTTCTTTTTTTTTTCTTTTTTAAATATGAAAAAAAGAGAAACAGGGGGGAAAGCTCACTACCTAAGAATTTTATATATATAAAAAAAAAATCAAAACCCCCCACCCAGAAATCGTTGAATCAAATGCCCTAATTCAAAACCCCACACCAGAAATCGTTGAATTGAAATCCAAATAGTTTAATCAAACGCCCTAATTTAAGAAGGGAAGGGTTTAAGAGAAAAAAGAAACAAACTCTAGGTTTAGAACCTTACCAAAATTGCAGGTCTTTCCCAAGCCAATGAGTTTCGAAGGGTTGTAAGGGAAATG